CAGAGGTGGCTTTGCTGGACATTTCCAGCCCATTCCCAGCTCAAAGCTGTGGGAAGAAGAAAAAGAAAGTGAGAATCCCTGAGAGAATCCCAGAACGACTGCGGGGAAAGGGTGTGGAAGCCCCTCCTGTGGTTCCCCTCTTGGGGAGACCCTAATTCTCCTAGATTCCAATTCATCCCAAAATATTAGAAGGTTTCCACATAATTGAAGATTAAAAGCAGTGTCCTCCTAAGGATCAAAACTTCTCAAAAGATGCAAAGCAATATTCCGTGTACCCTAAGTATGAATATGTAGGGACCCTGGCCGTGGGCTGCAGTCCCAGAGGGAGAGACACCTCTACCCGAGGGAAGGTGCAAATGAGACCACAGCACCGCAACCCACGTATTTTTTTGAACATGTATTTTACTGAAGATAGTATTGACCAAGGAATGTGAGGTAGAGAAATAGGAAAGAGGTCTCAGGGACATAAAGAATTAGGAAAGATCTCTGGCTCGGACTCGGCAGCTGCCGGGGAGACTCGCAGAGCGCAGCGCCTTTTCCAATTCCTGCCACAGGACGCACTGACCAATTTCCTGTGAAACACAAGTCTAGTCTCCTGTGAAAATTTAAAAGTTTAATAAAGGACAATAGGAGACAGCAACCATGAAGCGAAGATGTAACATCCATGCTGTGTCTTCATTCATAGCCAAGAGCACCCCTGTTGTTCGGGATACATCCTTGAGATACCATTTTCAATGTATCAGCCTGTTCCATATTCATAAATAATTATGCCATAATATAAGTAGAATTATATAACAATTGTAAGTAAAGTTTATAAAATTCTAGAAATTATTAGAATAACTATTAAAAGTAAACTTTTTTAAACTTATATGTAAACTTTTCCAAATCTAGTTTACATATTCCGAGAACTGTTTAGCATATCTCCTCCTCAAGTCTGCCTTTTTTGGGCAAGCGGATTCCCTGGTTATGGTTTTAGACCATTTATATCATAACCTTCAGGTTTGGACCTTGGTCCACGCTGTCTTCAGAAGGTGAGTGCTGATAGTTGGAATATCCGTAGCAGGTGTGCTCATCCTGTGCTCTTTGGATGTGATCCCATTCAAGCAGGCATTGCAACACAAGCACACTAGATCAGCTATTTCACTAAGCTTAATTAACAACACAAACAAAAACTATATTTTTACCTCAAAATTAATTTTAACACAACCCTTATAGAAGCCCTTTTAATATTTTCGAGAAGCCAATGTTATAATATGTATCGGTACCGCTGCTCAGCGGTGAGTCCGCAGTTCCCGGGCAGAGCCGCAGCGCCCAGCGCTCCCCACTTGCATCTCACCTGCGCCGCCCGCTCGCATCCAGCGAGCCCCGGGAGCGGGATTTTGGCTGG